TCTCTGCGGATAAGCCTGCCCCAGCCATCGTGTGAGTGGGAAGTGGCTTGTGCACAGGATCGTAGCTCTGTTTCCTCTGCAGAGCACCCGTCTCCTGGCACTGTGGGCTGGGGCTGGATCTGGTGCCCTGTGGCTGCGAGTGCAGAAGGCCGGGCAGCCCCCAGGCATGAGGGTGCCCCAGTACCCCTGGTTCTACCTGCCACTCGCATTCCCGGTTGGCAGCTTCACAGCAAGTTTTGGGGAGGTTTTTGCAGCAGGTTCTGCGGGAAGTTTTTGCAGTGGGTTTTGCAGGGCCGTGAGATGATTCCAGCCACAGCTCTTGTTTTCCTAGGCACCATCTCCTGAAATGGCTAGTGCTCCATGGGGCCTCTCCCGCTGATTCCCTCCTCTCTGCCCTCAGTACCCTCCAGATGCCTTTGGTCTGTTCTCACCCCAGTGCCAGCTTGTAGCATAAGCAGCAACCCCCAGCATGCCAGTGGTTCTGGGGGTGACATGCCTCTGTGCCCTCCCCACACCAGCTTGACCCCAGCCAGGATGCCCGGGCAGAGACAGCCTATGTTGTGCCTGCTTGGCTCCATGACTGCCATATTCCCTTCCTGGAACATCTTAGAGGTCATCTGTCTGGGAGACCTCTTGTCCCACAGGATGTCTTGTCTCCAGCAAATCCCTTAACCTTGTGCTTTCGAATCACAGTCTCTGGGCCTGCAAAAGTCCTGGATCCTGTCTCTTCCCCGACACCGTGAAGGACTTGGAGCCACTGGAGTAAGTGGAAACTGCTTTTAATCATTAAATAAATTCAGCAACAGCCACCCACAGCTGAAGGCACCAGTTCCCTCTGCCACCCACTGGTCCCAGCAGATGTGGATGGGGAAGGCAAGCTGGTTCAGGAGGGGATCGAGTTAAGAGAAGGAGCTGGGCAGCTCCAAACATCACAGCTCCATCTCCAGCAGTCCGGGAATGCGTCCCCGGCGTAGGTGGTGGGTTGGGGTGGCAGAAGCAGAGGGGGGCTTGGCTCTAACACTCTCCATGGGGCCCGCCTAACCTGCCGGTTCTGAGGGGGGAATGTGATGCTGAGGGGGCTGAGCCATGCCCATCTCTGGGCACATCAGGGTTGGAGGGCAGCGCTGTGTTTCTGGGGTGCTACGGCTTCTCTGCCAGGCGTGCCTGTCTGCTGGCTTTGGAGCAGGGCTGCAGTGAGTGGGCGCAGCAGCTCCAGTCCGTGCCCGGCATGGGGGCTGCGTGCGCTGGGGTGGGGATGATGGGATAAGGGCAATGGGGACAGGGGGCAAGGACCTGGATGGAGGGGGCAAGGCGGCGTGCCTGTGTGGGGAGGACCACGATGGAGAGTAACCGGGAGGTGGCCCCTCTCTCTGCCCATAGGTCAGCTCCGGTGCCTGGCAAAGGCGGGGGGGGCAGATGGGCACGCGTCCCCTCGTTCCCCTGCACCCTCCCTGGCCCGGTGGGCTGTCTCCGTCCCTACCACACCTCACAGTGCTTGCCGGGGTTCATGGGCGAGCCCAGGGGGCAGCCAAAATGTTCAACAAAGTCCCGGGAGTTGCTGAGGGTGCCGATGACACGGTACTTGTCGGGGCTGTGCGGGTCGGTGACCAGCCCTTCGTGGGAGCTCTCGGGCGTCCGGACGGAGCACCACACCTGCCAGAGGGGGAACGGCCTTAGGGGACAGCCCCATTGGGACCAGCGAGGGAAATCTCCGGTTGGGCTGGACGCCTGCCCTGGGCACGGCTCCTGCCTCCCAAGCAGGATGGGGGGCTGCGGAGGGGCACCAAGGACCTAGGAAGGGATGAGACAGCCCTGGGCATCTCGGAGATGCCTGTCCTGCTCAGCAATACCTGTGCAAAGCCCACGAAGAAGAGCTGGTGGTTGGTGAGTCCCAGGGCTGGGAGGCGTTTCTCTTCCCCATTCTTCTGCAGCCAGGACTTGTAGGCCTGTGAGAGAGCTGCTGTGAAGCCCCAGGATGCGGTGGTGGGGGGAGCCAGGGCAGGGTGCCTGCCGTGGCAGCCGGCAGAGCCACTCACATTGTAGGCCGCCTTGAGCCCGCCGTTGTCGGCGATGTTCTCGCCCAAGGTCTGCCGGCCGTTCACCTTCTCGTGGTGCACAGTGTAGTGGCTGTACTGCTCCGTCATGCACTCCGTGCGGTTCTTGAAGGCCTCCAGCGAGGAGTTCTGCCACCAGGGCCGCAGGTTGCCCTCCTTGTCGTACTCCCGGCCTGCAGGATGGAGGCGTGGGGCAGCGGGACCAGGAGCACCAGCCCCATGCCCCAGACAGCCCCCTGTGGAGCCCCCACTGAAGGGAGTCCCAGGACAGGGCTCAGTGGAGCATGTGTATAGTGCTGCAGGGAGGGACTGGGGGCATCCAGGGCACTTGGAGCCTTGAGTTCATGCCAAGCCCCACGCTTCGGGGAGATGGTTTCTCCCAGCTCCTGCTCCGAGCAGTCTCTGACCCAGGGCTCAACTGTGTGCTTGGGTCCCCAAGCATCCCTTGGGGTCTCCTTGCTGTCCCAAGCTGGGTTTGAACCCACAGACTCTGTGACCCCAAATTCCCCCAATCACCCCCAGCTCATCCCCGCTGGCTCTGAGGCCACAGTGAGGGTGCAAAGCAGAGCGGATGTGAGAGGGACCTGTCTCATGCCCCGAGAAGGAGGATGAGGAGGGAGGAGGCAGTTGGGGGGGCCACACGCTGTGTAGGGGGCCACAGGGTGGGGGACCTGAGCTGCAGACACCGTGTCCTCACCAAGCGGATGGAGCGAAAGCTGCACAGAGAAGCCGGGGGGAGGTATCGGCGGGTGTCACCTGGGGAGACAGGATGATAGAAGGGGAAGCCAGCCAACTGGGGGGTGCAGGGGCAGCCGGGGGCACGAACACGCATGATGCAATGGATGGCAAAGCAGTACCCCTGCATACCCACAGCACCCCTCTTCCCACACCGAGGGCCGGGGGGCAGGCAAGGGGCCTCACAGATGACAGGAGGTGCCGTGGGAAGCAGTGAGGACCTGGGCCGACAGAGCCCACAGGCTCTCACCTTGGTCATCAAAAGCGTGGGTCAGCTCATGCCCCATCACCACGCCGATGCCACCGAAATTGAGGGCTCTGTGAGGCAGCGGGAAAGAGCCAGGTTAGTATGCAGGGGTCGTGCCACCTCAGCTTCTCAGTTGGCTACCTCTGTGTCCTGGGCACCCCCACCACGTCCTGAGTATGCTCTATTTGGGCACCTGGTGAGACTGCTCTGCTTGGTACCCAACCTGGGGGTAAGCTAACACCTGCTGGGAGTGGGTCCTGCCTGGGGACACTGGTGGCCCCATGGGGACTTTGCAGGCCATTCCAGATGCAGGATGTAAAGCCTAGATGGACCTTCACCCATCAGGACTTTCCTCCCACGGTGGCTGCGGGCAGCATTTCCGTCAGAGAGGGGTGGCTGCGGGCTCTGCAGGGTGCCAGCTCCGATCCCGAGGGGTACAGCTTGCCATCTCCCTGCTGCATCCCCTGCTCTTTGGAGATGTCCCTTGGCCCCATGGCTGTGCTCACTTGGGATGGTTGCGGGCGTAGAAGGGGGCCTGCAGGATGCCGGCGGGGAAGACGATCCCATTCTTGGTGGGCAGGTAGTAGGCATTGACGGTCTGCGGGGTCATGCTCCACCTACGGCAGGGACAGGCTATGCCAAGCCCTGGGGGCAGGGCACTGGGCACAGGCAGGGATGTGTCCCCTCTCCCCGTGTCCCCCAGGACCCTCCTGTGCCATCCCATCCCCAAGTGACTTGCCCCTATGTTATCTCCTGTCCCTACTGTCCCATGAGCTCCCCCTGTGGCCACCTCACTGCCCCATGTCGAGACCTCCCCCTGCCGAACCTGCGCTGCGAAGGCCATGGTGGGCGAGCGAGGGGACAGTGCCGTGCTGGGGCTGGCCCTCTCTCTTATTTCCCATCCCCCACCCCCTGAGCCCTCTTGTAGCCCAGTGGCGTGGCTGTGCCCCCCGGGGTGAGCAGCTCCTTACTGGTCCCGGTTGGGGGGCTTCCGGAGCTGGTCGGCCATCACTTTGGCAGAGAAGTTGTAGAAGTTGAGCATGTTCTGGAAGAAGGAGTCCTCTGAGACCTCGTACTGGGGAGGAAGAGGATGGGATGAGGATGGAGCCCAGCCCAGGGCTGTTCTCCTCCACTGTGGCTGGCTGCAAGGGGGGGTGTGCTAGGTACCGAGATGTCTGCTTAACGTCCTTTCCCGCCATGCTGGCCTCCACCCCCCAGCCCTGCTGCCCAGATGGGTCCCTGGCAGTGTCCTCCCTCCCTGGGGCTCTCCAGGGCTTGGCATGAGCGGGAGGCCGGACCCCTTCCCCATGATCCAGGTGCCCTCCTACCCCGTCATAGACATCGTCCAGCTCCTTGTTGTCCAGGATGAAGTCTGGGAAGCCAATCATGTCATAGATGGCATCTGCCTGCATGGAGAGAGGCCGCAGGCAGTGCCTGGTAGTGAGGTAGAGCCTGGGGGTTTCCCAAGAGGGTCTCCCACCCACTGCCCTCCCCAGGTCCAGGGACAAGCCTGCCCCACTGGGTCACCTTCTCCTTTTCTGCCTGTCTGGTCTTCTCATCCATCCAGTCAAGCTGGTCCAGGGACACCTCAAAAGCTGCCCGGATCTCACTGATCATCTCCTCAGCCTGGGGATGGAAGGGAATGAGCCCCCAACCCACTACCCACAGTGCCAGGCTGTGCCCATGCCCCGTGCCACCCCCCCCCCCCGGGCCCCCCCCCGCGGGCGTAAGGATGCAACTGTGGGGAACTCCCTGGGGGCAGTGGTGGGGAGAGGAGGGAGTAGAAGTGTCCTCACGATGGCCTTGCTGTCCCGGTCGAAGGTGGCTTTGACAAAGAGGGAGCCCAGGGCGAAGCCCAGCGTATCGTCTGTGTTGGAGATGCAGGTTTGCCAGCGGGGTGTGCAGGACTGTGGGGAGTGAGATGGGAGTCTGTGAGACCCCCAGGAGCACCCCAACGCCCCAATCCTTCCTCTGTTCCCCTCCCTGCCCCCCGCAAGCTCTGCCTCCTTGGCAACAGGGGAGATGCTCAGCAGCTTAAACCCCTACATCCCAAAAGATGGTCCATGGGGTCTCTCTGCAGCATCCTATGTCACTGCATCCTGAGGGCATCCCAAGGTCAGAAGTGGCCCTGGCTGCCCCTGTGTTGGTCTGGGCTGTGGGTGGAGTGGGCTGGTCCCGTGGCCTCCGTTACCTTCCTGGTGCCATAGAGCGTCTCCAGCAGCCTCTCCTGGGCCGTCTCGAAGCGCTGGTCCAGGCTGGAGGCCGTTTTCTGCACCAGGTTCCAGATCAGGTAGTTGTTCAGGATGCTGTGAGGGGCAAAGAGATGCCATGGCTCACCACGGCTGCAGTCCCCAAGGGATGCCCCCAGCCTCCAAGCCAGTGGCGTGGCCAAAACATGCCCCTGCCACAGGTTCAGCCCTCATGGGGCCTTGCGGGTGCCTTACCCCCGGTCAGTGCCATTGATGAGGTCAGAGACCTGCTGGAGGTAGGCATCCCCGTACACCACTACAGGCTCTGCTTCCGTCAGCTCCAGCGGGGCCAGGGCGTAGGCCAGGTAATCCAGCCAATCGATGGCAGGGGCCAGGGCCTGTGGGGACACGGGGCCAGGGCACCCGGGCACTCAGCACATCTCTGCCCCCTCCTGCAGGGCATGGGGGTGGAGGCTCTGGAGGGTGCCTGGAGGGGTTGGGGACTGAACCCCTCGAGAAGGTCCCTCACCACCCCAAATCTCTTCCCTGCTACGGGCCTCCCTCCCATGGCTCCCTGCAGCTCTCAATGCTCCAGCCCAAGGAGAGGGCCCCCCCGAGGGGGCAGGGACCCCCGAATCCTAATGACAGGGTGAAGGGCACTTTGCTCCCAACACCCAGCACCTGCCCTGGCACCTGCAGGATGGACAGGGCTGCCCAAGGGGGGATTTCTCTCCCCATGCATCCTTGGTTGGCAATGCTGGGCATGGATCAACTTGGTGCCCTGCAGGACAGCCTCTGCGAGTATCCTGGATTTTCCCAGGCTGTTCCCTGCTGATGGGGACCCCAGGCCATCAGGCCGTGGCCATGCCCACCTGCAGCTCAGCGATGCTCATTTTGTGGTAGATCTTCTCGTCGTCCCGCCGCTCAGCCTGGGGCACGGTGATATTGGCCAGCTGGGTTTCAAAGTCCAGCACCTGCTGCATCTGGAGCTGGGTGGGCTCCTTGGCACCCCCCAGCAGCATGCCCAGCTCCACCATGTAGTCCAGGTACGCTGCCAGGACCTGGCAAGACCCCGAGCCCCAGGCTCAGTCACGTCTCTAGGATCACCTCTGTCCCCAGCCTGATTGCCCCCATGCCATCTCCCCGGAGGCTCCGACCCCCTGCCTGCCTGGGCATCATGCCCGTGATGAGGTGTCGGGTGTATCCTGGCCCCGTTTGCACCTAAATGCTGTGGGTTTCCCCTGTTTGGTGCCTGCAGGGCTCCAGCCTCACCTTCTCGTTGGCAGTCTTGTTCAGGTAGTAATCCCGGGACGGGAGGAAAAGCCCCGACTGGTCCACCTGGGGGGAAGAGAGGGGCAGCATGAACAGCCTGGTGCCCACCAGTGCCCATGGCCCCTCGGTGCTACAGTGCTGACCTGGATGATGTTGCTGTTGGAGCTCTTGGAGTCTGCACCCACATACACCGTGAAGAAGGGGGTTGCCCGGTACGTGCCAGACACCATCTTGAGGACCTCCATGAAGTTGGTCTGGTTCCAGGGCCCAGTGATGTTCCAACCGCCGATCTGCTGGCAAATGGACCCAGCGCCTCAGGGGCTGTCCCATGCTCCCAGGGGACACTTCTCCCTGCAGGTTTGAGCCTCTCCTCAGGGGCCCTTTCCTTCTCCAGTTACCCAAAGAGGGACTGGGAGATGTGCCCAGGCCAGGCTGGGCTGAGACCCAGTCTGAAAACTCATCTCATGTGTGAGCAGCTGCCCACCATGCCCACCTTGTCGATGAGCTCCATGAGCGGCTGGGAGCCCAGCTCTTCTATCCTCTGCTCCTTGAGGCAGGACAGGTAGTACCGCTGCGTCTTCCTCTCCGCCTCGCTGCTGGAGTTGAAGGTGGTGTTCTCTGCAGGAGGCTGCAGGTCAGCCCGGGGTACCCAGGCTTGGCCACGCTCAGGGGGTGCAGAGGCACTCGCGGCTGGGGCTGTGCCCATCCTGGGTGCCTGCCACGGGAACCCGCAATGCCCACCTAGGAGGTGCTTCATGATGGCCTGGTTCTGGTCCCAGATGCTGTTGAAGGTGCTCCACTTGGAGCGCCCATTGGGCAGCGGGTTCCTCTTGATCCAGCCCCCGCACGAGTACTGGTAGAAGTCCTGGCATGGGTCTGTCTCCGAATCCAGGGCCTCCAGGATCTTGCTGGCCACCCGGACGCAGGCATCCGTCAGACATGTGCTGTGAGAAGGATCTGGCAGGGAAGGCATGCCCAGGGGTGTGCGCGTGTACAGGGGGGAAACTGAGGCACAGAGCGGGGCAGAGCTGGGGCAAAGCGCTCCCTGCCTCCAGCCCTCCCTCTGCACCCCAGGGTGGGCAATTATGGCCGGGGGGGGGTCAAGGGGCTGGGGTAGTTCTTTGGAAGAGCACCCAGAGTCGGGCACAGTGCGGCGGCACATGGCATGGGTCATCCGTGGGTCTCCCTGCGGCAGGATGCCTGCGAGCTGGGCACAGCCCCAGAGCAAGGTCCCTTGGGGGGACGATGAAAGCCGGGGAGCTCAGCCGCCTGACCAGAGGTGCTGTTCCCTGGGCAGGAGTCGGCCTCGGGGATGACCTGTTCCTCCCTGTCCTGCCATCCTTATGGGTGGGGGGCTGCTGCCACCGTGGTACTGGGCCCAGGGCCCTTCCTACCTCTGCGGTACTGGATGGCCAGGGCGACCACAGCGACGCCGAGCAGCAGGGCCAGGGAGATGGAGACGGCGCAGAGCACCAGCTCCAGCTGGGTGCGGGATGCCAGGCGGCTCAGCAGCGGTGCTGTCCCCTTCCGAAACCCCACCTGAGCAGGGGGCATGGCTGGTGTCACGCCCCGCGGGGGAGAAATCTGCCGCCTCTGCACCCTTTTCCCTCTGCAGGGCTCCCAGGTGCCCCAACTTGGCAATGCGTGGGGCATGGAGAGGTGCATGGGGACACGGGGTGGGGATGAAGACGGGGAGCAGACCATGATGGCCTGGAAGTGGTCACCCCGTGTCTAAGGAGGGAGAGAGCTGGGTGCCTGTGTATCCCTGCTGGGGCCACCTGAGAGATGGGGCATCCCCCCGAAGGGGCCTGAGCCCCCTGCCCCCGCAGTGGGTGCTGGCAGCCCCCCAGCCCCAAGGACGGACCCCGCCCCGGCCAGACTC